GTACAAGAGGTGCCCCCAGTGCATTAATACAGTACATTAATAGAGTTAAAGTGCTTTCTATTTACATAAGCATAAGCAAATTCGTTCTCTGAAGGTGACTTTATAGCAATGCGCGCGCAATCGATAGCTTCGACTATGTTGGGAAAACCGGACATCGCTGCAAATTGCGTTTTAATATTTGCCTGTTCAACCACAGTGTAAGGAAATTTTATATATCTGGGTGACAAGTGGATTATGCCATCCCATATAGCTGGCATGGCGCAACTAAGTGTCGACTGAGAAATACCCGATCGGTCCGCAAGTTCTCACTGAAAAGCACCTGTGGCTAAGAACCCGCGGGTGGACAGAACTTGTAAAGGGACAGGTATAACGCAATTCCTTAACATCTGCCTTTGTAATGCTGGCCCCAGTTTAGCACACAGCTCCGAAAGGATTGCTCTTGGAAATCTGAATCGACTTAGAAGCCAGTTATCATCCTGGGCCTGAATATGCGCTCTCTTCTAATTCTTCCATAAGCTATGTCTTCCAATAGCGCAAGAGCTGCCATGGTAGTTGTCATAGTTCGGTCATTTTATGCACCGTTTTATTGTTACAAATTGATTAAAAATCAGGTGCCGTACATTTGTAAACAACATACAATTAATGTCAAATAAATTTGATAAAGTCAGCGTCATGATTGTGAGTTTAAAAAGGGAAACCACAGTAGCAATGACTTGCCATTGAGTGCCATCCGTTTACAAAACCGAGCAGAAATGTGCGTACGCCATGTCTGGAGCTGCCGTGAGAATGTGCGTAGCGGTACGCCAAGTTTCGTTTTTATACATCTCGACGTGAGCGTGGAAATGGCCATACGCAACATTTTCGTGCGTATGCACCGTTTATACATGAGGCCCCTGGTCTCTAACTCGCTGACTCCAAAAAACCCAAGAGCCTGTTCGATGAACGAATCGAACTTACGGGTTTTCAGACACTCTGTGACTCAAATGAACCTGTTCGATGAACGAATCGGAACTTACGGGTTTTCGGAGACTCGGTTGGTGAATCAAACGAACGGTTTGCAAACTGATCCCAAGAGCCATTGCGGCGTTTATTGCGGAAATGCAGTTAACCTGATGAATATGGTAAAATAAATGCAACTATTGCCGATTTATGAAAGCAGTAAGTTATTACATATATATATATATATGTAATCATTAAAATTATTGCACTTATTGCATTTGGCGTTTATATTACTGTTTGTACACGTATATTTGAGCTTATTCTATGTAACTGCTTACAGTATTATTACTTTGTCATGTCCATTTCAAGGGTCTAATTGGTCGCACATGTCTTTTCTTGTATTAAAAGTGCAAATGTGTCCTATTTCTCCAGCAAAATTGCTACAAAGACTAAACTGAATGCAATCAACTGTGATGGATTAGGTAGGGGTAAAGAGGACGCTGTCGCGGAATTAGGTGCAAGTGACTTTAATAAATAAAGTGAAAGCTGTCTGAAGACTAGAAGGTTACTGGCGAACGTATCGCTCAGAATAAACAAAAGGAGCTGGCTGGATCGTAGTCGTGGGACAGGCTGGGGTCGGGCGATGTACGGAGTCGGTCTTGGGGGCTGGGCAGGTCTCGTAGTCGGGGTACAGGCGGAGGTCAGGCGATTCACGTCGGGCATCAAAGGGGCTGGACAGAAACTCGGGGTCAAAACGGCAGAACAACGGTCAGAGAACACGGAGAGGCAAAACCAGAAAAAACTCAGGAATAATTCTTGAAGATCTCGCATCAGGCTGCAAGATCCGATGGCTAAAATAGTTTCCCTAATCTAGAAATGA